GTTTAGTACTTCCTACCAAAAAAACAAATGAACCATGCAAAAATATTCTACAACTATAAATGTAAAAAATTATAGGGCGAATTAGGGCTCGTGTCACTTTGATCCCTGACTTTTCAATTGTGACGCATTTTGTGATAACCCTGGTCCATATTATGCTAATTAATCTTAATTGTGATTGTGATTATGTGTTTGATATGATTTTGAGTGCCATTTATATGAATATATGTGGTTTTGAATTTCTATCTGTTCACCGTAGGAAAATCTGTTTTATTATCTGCTTTAGAATTTAAATTGAAGGCCTTATCGGCCACAGAAACCGAAATTGACTACGCCATTGTGATTAGCGTAATTTTTAGAGCCTATGGTGAAATTTAATTGAAAATTGATTCGGATCAAATAATTAGATTCAGAATGATTAATTAAGCTTTATTATTTAACTCTAATCAATTTGATTAAGAGAGAGACTATAAAAGGGCCAATTTACTCTTATTTCATTTTGTTTGAGCTCAAATTGAAGTCTCACTCTAGAGGGAGAGAGAGAAGCCGGCTCTAGAGAGAGAAAGAGGGAGAATTGTGTATCTTAGCTTAAGTTTGGGAATTTGAAAGCTTAACTTCAAGAATTGACCATAAATTGGGAAGATTGAGCTTCTAGGTGAGTAATTGGTTATGAATTCATAAGTTTAATATTGTAATTTTGTGAATTCAAGGCTTGATGGTGATCAAGAACATGACTTGAGTTGAATGTGAAGTTAGAATGTGCATGCATGCATAGAATTATCATGAATTGGCAAGAATTGTATGATCTAACATGTAGCTTGTTAATTATGAAAAATTGAGTTGTTGGATCATACATGCAAGCATGATTTGGATGAGTTTTATGTGTGTAAGGATCACTTGAGCCATTTGAAATGGAATTTGAGTTAAAAGATTACATGCATGCTTGATTAATGAAGACATGGAGTTAATATGAAGTTGAATACACATGTATTGAAACTATGAAGAGAAATGTTGGTTAATTTGAGAATTTGATCATGGTTTTGAACAATTGGTCCCAAATCTCCTTTGCTCTCATGCTATGTATGCATTTCTCATGTTTTTGGTACCTAAATTCGAGCTTTGGAGCCTTTGAATATCAAGTTTGAGACTCAAGAACAATTCTGGATTTTCCAGAATTTGGCATGTCTGCTCGAGTGGGGAAAGCGCCGCTCGAGCGGGAAATACGAGCTCCCAGAAGTTTTACAGACATGGGTGTTCGCTCGAGCGGGGAGCCATGTAGTGATACTTTCAGCTCGAGCGTAAAAATGAGGCAACTAGTACTTTTGCAGACCAAAGGGGGTCCGCTCGAGCGGGGAAACCTGCGCTCGAGTGGGGAACCCTGTTTTTGAAATTTTGTAAAGTTGAAATAAGTTTTATTTTCCGTTCTCTTCCATCTCTAAGCGCTCTTAGGCATGCATTAAGCATTGTAAATGAACTAAATGGATAAGAACGAAGCCTAAGAGGAACATATGAATTAAGAACGGAATGAATTGTTTATGACCCATTGTGTTCATGCAATGTGTAGGGTCGAGTTCCAGGGAAAATCCACCGGCAGATCACTGTGAGTAATATCTTAACAAGATATCTGAAGTATGTTATTTGTCCAATTGCTTACTTTCATATAAGTCTTGTAAGTTTGTTACATTGAATTGGGGACAAATATTTGTTATGCCATATGATTGGGCCAAAGGCCGTTGGATACAATTGACTGGGCCGAAGGCCGTTTGACATATGAATGATTGGCCCAAAGGCTGTCTGACATGAATAATAGTCTGACATGAATGATAGTCTGACATATGAATGATTGGGCCAAAGGCCGTCTGACATGACTAATAGTCTGACACGAATGGTAGTCTGACATGAATCATAGTCTGACATATGAATGATTGGGCCAAAGGCCGTCTGACATGAGTAATAGTTTGGTATGAACGAGTGGGCCAAAGGCCGTCGGATATGAACGATTGGGCCAAAGGCCGTTGGATCTGAACGATTGGGCCAGAGGCCGTCGGATATGAACGATTGGGTCAAAAGGCCGTTACACATGAATGGATGGGCCAAAGGCCGTCGGGTATGAGTTAATTGGGCCTGAGGCCGTTTGATACATCTAGAACTTTAGCCGATTGATACATTAAATAGAAACATGAATTGGGGCCAAGGCCATCTGATGTAACTGTTTCAAAGACTGTTCATATATCTTCCTTATTTGATATTATTCACTGGGCTTTCGCTCACGCTCATTCATGTCTATGTAGGTGAGCCAAGGGACGTCCAAACCCAACCTCGGTGAAATATGTGAGAAATAGTCAAGGTTTTGGAGAGTCAGCCCAAACGTCTCACGCACGAGACTTGTCTTCGCCTCTTTTGTTCTTTGGATATAGTTTTGTTATATTGGCGAAAACATCAAATTATCTTTGTATATAAATCTTGGGTTTGACTGACTTAGACTTGAATGATCCTGTGTATGTACAGAGCCTTGTGTTATTATCCCTTTGATGTGAGTTATTAACAGGGGTATATATATATGATTTGTTATGACGTGCCATGTAAGCACAGCTCTATGGACAAAAGTTTTAAATTTGCTTCCGTTTGGCCCATTTACTTTGATGAGATGTGTCTTGTTTGGATTGAGGCCGTAGGTAATCCCTTGATTACTGGCCGGTTATGTCCTTAACCCATAGGGGCGGGTTTGGGTCATGACATATTTGACTCTGAATTTTGAATCTTGTTCAAAATAAGGACAATTGAAGATACAATTGCTCAATTTCAAGGGCAAAGTCGTCAATTTGATAAAATATAAACTAATTTTACAAAAATAAACGTCAAAAAAATATTTTTGAATTTTTAAAAATAATTATACCCACCAAAGATAAGATTATGTAAAATTGATAAATCTTTCGGACATTTATTTATCTCTTTTTTACTAAATTAATTTTTATTATATGTTTGGATGATGATCATGTCATGGGTGGTTGTTAGGCTTTTAATGTGTAATTGATATATTTAATATATGAAATGTTTTTAATTTTGGATGTTTTGATTTAATGGATTAGTTTAATAATAATATCAAAATTGCTGGCATATTTGACTTTTGGAAAAATAGAAACTAATTTGATGAAAATAAAAACAATCACTCATTGCATGATCGTCATCCAAACACATAATAAATATTAATTTGGTAAAATAAATAAATAAATAAATGTCTAAATGATTTATAAAATTTACATAGTTTTATCTTTTGTGAGTAGAAATAATTTTTAAAAATTTGAAAATATTTTTTTGACATTTATTTTTGTCAAATTAGTTTATATTTTATCAAATTAACAATTTTGCCCTTGAAATTGAACAATGGTATCTTCAATTGTCCTTATTTGAAACAAGATTCAAAATTTAGGATTAAATGTGTTACAATTGAAAAGTCAGGGACCAAAGTGACGCAAGGCCCAAACTATAGGGACCATTAGTGTAATTCACCCAAAATTATACTATTAGTTATTTGATTACAAATCTTGTATGTCAGTTCAAATCTCTAGTAGCAATTTAATTATACCACGATTAATTATCGGAGCTCTTCTCACAGGCCTTTTTATAAACCAATATATGTAGTCATCTTTCATGTATCCCTTTTTAACACAAGACCTATCATGAATGAATGAGGTCAGACATTAGTATTATTGAAGGAAAAGTAAAGCACTGGTCTGCTGCTATGATCTGGTTGCTGTCAGCAGAGGTTCTATCTGGAACTGTTATGCTGGCTTAATTGGTCTGCCATGCTGTGTTATTGTTGTTAAGGTGTTTTTCTTCTCTGTTTTCTTTGGTTCTATATGGAAAGAAGTTGGTTGCAAGTCTTGGTGGTTGATAAAAGAGAGAGGTGAACTGCTTCGTTGGGTGAGGGTGGTTGATATGTTTTATTAGAATGCTATGCTCAGCAGTGGACTGATTTGCTCAACAGTCGACTATTACATTAGACTGCCATGCTCTTGGTTTGTAGTTTGGGTCATAATCTGTTGTAGGGCTGGGCAACAAACCCACCCGCTCGCACAAATCGCCCGACCCTACCCTACCCGCAGTGCTTTAGGCGGTTTCGATGTAGGTAAGCGGGCGAGTGCGGGTCAAGAAATTTGCAGAAGATCGGGTTCGGACACAAAACATATCTGTACACCAATATATACAAATGTTTTTAGTAATGATACATATAGTGAGTGTTTGGAAAGTTGCTATTTTAGTAGGCTATTTTAATTTTTGGCTATTTTAGTAGGCTAAAATTTTTGTATTTGAGAAGATTAGGGCTGGGCAACAAACCCACCCGCCCGCACGAACCGCCCGACCCTACCCTACCCGCAGTGCTTTGGGCGGTTTCGATGTAGGTAGGCGGGCGGGTGCGGGTCAAGAAATTCGCAAAAGATCAGGTTCGGGTCGAACCCGACCCGCCCGCAACCCGCATCTTTTTTTTTTTAAAGAAAAAATAACTAGTTATTATTATTATTTTTTGCATTTTGGATGGATGGAGATAACTAGTTATTATTTTTATTTTTACATTTTGGATGAAAGTAAAATTTATTATATGGGCACTTATATACATTATCATGATCTAATGATATTTAAATTAGTGTTACTAGTTTGACTTTTAAGGGTTTGTTTTTGCAAGCTAAGGAGGAAGATTAATTACTATCCTCAAGCATGGTTCCATATCATCTTATCTAACATGTGGACTATTTATTATGATCATGAATTGTATATCTTGTAATTTAATTTATAACTCTTCTAAAAGCAAACCGAACCGCACCCGCCCGCACAAACCGCGAACCGCATCGTGGGCGGTTGCGGGTCCATTTTTCCCCAACCGCATAAGTGCGGGTCGGGTCGGTTTTGACCCGCACCCGGTCAAAACCGACCCGCGAGCAGCCCTAATCTGTTGGGTTGGTTTGGTTCTTAATCTGTTCTGTTCTAGCTTTATGGGTGAGCAGCTGCTGCTTTTTGTCATTGACCAGCAGCAGCAGCATTGTTTTGGTTGGAGAGCAGTAGTTGCAGCATTGACACCGGAAGTGAGAGGTTGTCTGGCATAGGAGGTCTGTTGGAGTATGAAGATGATATGAGGTTGCAAACCTGTATGCTGTTGTTTGGTGCTAGTTTGCAGAGGTTGCCCCTGCTGAAAAATTACTTTTGCTATTGGAAAATTGCCAAAGGCCCTATTTCTTTTCTAGGACACCCTACAACTCATATGGACACGTGTGTGGGTAAATTAACTCATGCTCTAATACCATTTTGTCACGATCCAAACCCGCCCCTATAAGTTTGGCATCGTAACCAGCCAGTAATCTGAGATTACCAAAGGCCTTCCTGTACAATCAAAAAAAATAATCAGGGCTAGCGGAAGCAATATACAAAAATACACTGATAGTCCAATGAGCTGTGCATCTATATGAACAGACATTAATCATGCAAAAACGTTAATTTACTCACATTCAGTACATAAATTGTAACTTAACATTTTATACATAACGAAAGTCTACTTCACGATCAAAAGCTTGACAACGGTCCTCCAGGCCTAGCCCCAACTCAGAGGCACACAAAACAACTCGGTAGGCTTCAAAACGGTGACTCAATTATAGACCCCTTCTAGGCTTGCCCTCCAAAATGCTCACCTATACATATATATAAAAACAGTGAGCTAAAGCCCAGTGAATAACATTAACGTAAAGGGGTTAGTAAACGAATTCCAAATATAATATCTATAAAACAAATCATATCACAATCAATCATATCAGTCACATATCAGAACATAACGTAATGCTATATCTCACAGAACATATCACATATCGTTTTCCGACTAGAGTAATCGGTTCCGGATACCGATTAAACACATATCACCACAATGAAGTGGCTAACGAGATCTCATAATCACATGTATGTCATGGATCCGCACTAATGTGCCCTCCCCCATGACTTGGGACTATCCTTGGATACCACACTAGATTTGCAAACCGGATATTCGTTCACAGAATCAAAATCACATTTCAGAAACATATCATATCATATAGCATTTCGTATAACATTTCGAGTACAGTGCATATCAATATATGTTTACAGAAATATTACTCACAGTGGGCTTCCAAAACCGGTTGTACGGTCTTCTAGTCTTGACCTACAAACACGAACATTCATAGCACAATTTCTCAATATACAGTCAAATCATTTAGTTGATTCTTAACCTTATTCGATTATCCGATACTTGTTCACTAAATTATTTCTATGCTTATGAGATGCATATGAATGTATATGTCATGTGAAAACCATGTAAAAGAAGGTCCGAAAGTCAGAAAATGGAAATAAAACAAAATTGGAAATCAGCCCTGTTTGGCTACATGTGCGGTGGTCTTGGCCACACGTGCGGTGGCCTTGGCCGCACGAGTGGTGGTGAGGCAGTGTACAACTTTGAGCAAAGGAGGCCCGGTCGCTCGTGCAGTGGCCCAAGCCGCTCGAGCGATCTGGGTGTAAAACCAGTCCGAAAATTTGGTAAACAATGGACTTTCTCCCTTTTTGCAATCTCAACTCTTTTGTATACAAAATAAGGCTCAAAACACTTCAAAACATATGATTTACACATTTCCAACTTCAAATAAAGTTCATGGCTTCAAATCAAACTCAATAATTTGTCCATGAAAATGATTAAAACTTGAATTCAAAGTATAAAGGCCCAAATCATGCAAATCTTGAGTTTCATGCTCAAAATTCATGGAGTTTCCTCTTCAAGTAAAGAACCATGCAAGATTTCACGTGTATGAACAAAAATTCATGAACTCATGCCATAGATAATTACAATTCCCCCTTTTGATCTTCTTCTTCTTCTTGTTTCACTCTTTTTCTAGAACTCTCTCTCCCTCTCCAAATATCTTAAGTTCTTAATTGATAAGAATGAGCTCAACTCTCATACATACATATTACTTAGCAAATCAGAAGAAATCAGTTTTCAATTAAACTTCGCAAATGGCTCTAAAAATTTCCAGTAGCATATCTATGTGCTCAATTTCGGTTTCTGAACCCATTAAGGTTACCAATTTCAGTTCCAAAGGCGTAGCTCCAACAGTTATTTTTCTGATTCAGATAGATATTCTCAAATTAATTCATGTTAATGCATAATTAAATAAGGATAATTGTAACATGCATTTTGGGGCCATTACAAACTCTGTTAGTTAACCCTGATTTCTTGATCACATTTATTTCAATTAAGTATCCATGGAAATATTAGCTAAAGTTGGTTGGCAGATGAGACGATAATGTTGTTAGATAAATAATCATGGACAATCTACATTGAAGGCTTGAAGTATGGTAGATGACAATGTTGTTACATGAAAATATAGTCGGCATCATGGACTATCTACATTGATGTCTTGGGAGTATATTTGCATAAATCAATTCCATTGTTGATGTGGACTCAATTTAGAGAAAATTTTAGTTTTGCTATGTGTATGCTTTGGAAGTGCCTTTGGCACTTTGCTTATGGTTGACCATTGTAGGCATATGTTAATGAAATCTTGAGCATAACCAGTAGTTATGTATTTTTAAATGGATTTGGCATGGTTGCTGGATAGGACATATCTTTTTGTGGAAATTTGAATGGTCGTAGTAGGAAGTGCTTAAAGTTAATAGGGGAAGATGTGCCTTATCCTCCCTAATACCCATAGTCAACACATGATGTTTATAGTTTAAAACTTCCATTTCATGGGAGAAATCTATTTCCTAATCATTAATTTAAGCACTCAATATTGATACTAATTTTTTTTTTCTTGGATTTGATTTTAATTAAAGTTATGGTTTTACTAAAGAAATGTTCTCAAGTACTTAATTGAAGAGAAATAGAATTTCCATGTTATCATGTAGGGTCTAAAAGCCATTGATTTGCATAGAAAAATGTTAACGAGATACTATTTATATGTTTGAATAGCTAAGGGCCGCCATTGAGAGGAGTACTGCTATTTTTGACAAAAAGAAAGCACGGAAGCGGTCGTTAAAGCTATTTGGCGGTGTTGCTGTTTTCAAGGTAAATATTTACTGAATTTCTGTTGTTGCATGTATTTTAATGACTTCATTGCAAGTCTTCTTTTTTCAGGTTAAAAGGGCTAGCAAGGTAGAAGTTGAAGAAATGAAAGATTGGGTTACAGATGCTTTAAATGCAACAAGAGCAGCTGTGGAAGAGGGAATCGTTCCAGGTAATAGATAAACTTGTAAATAATATAGACTCTAATTTGACTTGGACTCTTTATTTTGGAACTTACAATGGTATTGGATAAAACCTATACAAACCTAAACCTCATACATAGAGATCCTTTAACATAATTATGCAAGTCCCAAGTAAGTGCTGCATTGAAGTAGATGAATTCCACCTCTTCCTCATTTTAAATTTAATTTTTCTCTAGAGCTTCTTATGGCATGGATTTAGTAGCAAACTATATTTTCCTGTACAAACTTAACGGTTTGTTTGAAGATTCCTACTCATTTCCCTCTAGAAACATTGCAACATAAGAGGTAACTTCATTTAAGGTATGAAAAAAAAGGTTTTGCTTTATGTGGATTTTATTTGCATATACGTTGAGACTATTGAGATTTTGAATTTTTGCTAATTTTTCATTATGACATTACTTTTATGGGGCCATTGAATTATCTTATTAATTTTGAAAATGTTTTGTTGATATTTTAAAATTTCTTGATCATTTCTTAATACCTCAAGAAATATTTTTGTCCCTGAGTCGTTGGTTTTTGTACTTATTTGAAGTTTCCATTGTCATGCAGACAAGAAATGCAACAAGGTTAGTTGCTCCAACTATTGCTATGGGTTTAGGTGCCTTAACACATACATTGGGCACCCTCGTCCTTGTGATAGGAGCAAGTGGATTTGCTATAACTATAGTTGCAACTACTATAGGAATATTGTCGGTAGTATTAATCCCTTAATAGTTGTCAATATGTTTAGAAAGTTAGATATGCATAGTTTTGGATGGTTTAAACTTTTTGTACAGTTTAGAACTTAAGGATATAGTTTTTGAATGTTTGGAATGTATAGACAATTGTTGAATGTTTATAATTTATGGACATAGTTTATTTTTGATGTTTCAAACAATATTTTGGTGGTTGATTGATGTTTTGTGATGCTTGTTTGTAATATTTGTTAGATTGTATAAAATTGGTCAAAGAGAACCTGCTGAATTTAAAAAAAAAAAACTGCATATTCTACGGTAGGCATAATAAGTTGTTGTATTACATATTTTATAGTGCGCAATCAACATCGTTATTTGTCTCACCAATTAATGGTGTGCAAAAGTAGTCATCGAAAAAATAACAACGACGCACAAAATCTACCATTAAATAGTTTTTAACGGCGTACTCTAGCATGTCATAGAAAATGTAACAATGATGCACAAAATCTACCATTAAATAGTTTTTGGCGTCGTACGATGCATATCGTTGAAAATGAATGACTTTCCATGACTGGTCATAATATGATCCGCGCTGTACGTCGTAGAAGGGTTTTTACGGCATGCATTGCACGCCGTAAAAATCCTTTTTTGTTGTAGTGATTTGGTTTTCTTATTTCAATTTCATATTATAAATTTGTTGTAATCTAACTGGAAATGATTAGTTGAGCCACCTACATATTTCTTATTTGTTCTATCTTTAGTGTTACAAAGGAAAAACAAAGTTTTTGCCAAGATTAATTGGCCAGCTAGCCAACGTTTTCTGGAACAAAATTGAGCAGTCTTCTAGCATTAAGTAGAATGGTTTCCAGTGATCTCCGAGGCACCTGAAGTTCCCATTTTTCTTTTATTTAGAGAGAGGTGTGAGGATTTTATTTTGTAATATTTTTCTTCATCTTCTCTCTTATTCGGATATGTAATTATTCAAAGTGTTATAATAATTCCCTACCCCCACTTCTTTTTATCTTGTTCTTTTACTTGCTTTCCATTATTTGTAAATATGCAGTAGATATAGTATTTTCATCATATCCATACTTTGCATGCATGTTTCATACCTTAAGATTCGAATAAATTTGCATCTGTAAATTTAATTGATTATTATGTGATTTTATACGCTAACTCATGTCTTAAGATGATTCATACGCCATACATTAGAAGCCGAATCTTTAGTTCCATTTCATGAGTGAATTTCATTAGGATTTTGTATACAGGATCATACATGTTTTGTTGACTTTGTTTTGTAGCTGTTCGCGGGATGTTGGTAAATATGTAAGTTTTTATGTTTTAGTATCTCGTTTGTGTGTATTTTCTTTATTATATGTTTAGAATTCTACCATGAGGCTATTTGCGTATTTGATATAACTCTATGAATGTCGGTGAATGAAGGTTGTGTCGCTTAATTTGGAATGATGCTGATTTTCATGTTTGTAAAATCTATTTTTTTTAGTTGTACATCTCCAAAACTCTTTCGAAATACATAAAATCAAATTGTTCCAAAATGAATGACATATTCTATACTTGTATGTTTCACATAGTAACGTTTATGAACTATTAAATAAATCGAAATATGAGCATATAAAGTAAATAAAACTCATATCATGGTTTAGTAGAGGTCAATTTTTGATCGGGTGAATGAAGGTGCTTAATTAAAGATCTTTACCTCTTTAACAACCTTGACCTATGATTAACTTATCATCCTTAATTAAGAATGCTTAATGCGTAATTAAGAGGAAATTCTGAGTTAATTGCATGTGTATTGTGTTATTTATGTTTATATCTGTCTGAATTAGGAATATCTATCTGATTTCTGATTCAATATGTGAATTGAAGGCCTTATCAACATCCGAACATGAAATTGACTAAGTCTATGTGTTATTTAGAATTTTTAGAATTGTATGGTAGATTTAATTAAAATCTTATTAGGAACCAAATAATTAGAATAAATAATTATAATTGATTAGCTTAATCAAGGCTTAATGAAACTTCACTAATGGAGCCTATATAAGGCTAATGTAATTCTACTAACTCATGTAGACTTCCATTTGATCATCTCCCTTAGCAAAAACGAGAGAGAGAGAGAGAGAGAGAGAGAGTAAGTGATAGAGTTTGAATTCAAGGAAAAGGAAGAAGAATTGGAAGGAATTTGAGGCATTTGACTTGAGGGCTCAAACAATTTAGCATCTAGAACATAATTGAACACCTAAGGTAAGACTTCAACCCTTTAGTTATGTAACTGAGTTGTTAAGTACCTGAAATCAAGTGAAATATGTGAATTAGCATGGGAATTGAGCTAAAGAAGGGAATTAGGAACCAATTCATGCATGCATGTGCATTTCATGAAGTTTTGAAGTTGTTTTCAAAAGAATTCTTTCATGCATGTGGTAATTCTAGTTTGGTTTTGAGAATTCATCACATTCCGTGTCATTTTATCCCATTTGATCATGTTTTGGAAGGTTTAAGTTCAAAGGAGTACATGCATGTTATGTTTTCAAAGTTTCAAGTTTGATTTTGAACAATTGGTATGCTTTTAGGCCTTGATTTTGTGAAATGATCCTTAATTCATGATGCTTCATAAGTTTACAAGTGTTTTCTCAAGTTTTGAGCCGAAAGGATTTGTTTTAAAGCTTTGAATTTGAGTTTTGCCTCTTGAACAACAATTTGAAAATTCCAAAATTCTACATCATCCCTCGAGTGACCAAAGCCACACTCGAGCGACCACCCATTATTTTGAACATTGGCTCAAGCGACCAAAAGTTGGCTCAAGCGTAAAATTCGAGCTCCTAGTACTTTTGCAGACATGAGCACTCCGCTCTAGCGACAAAACCTGCGCTCGAGCGACCACTCTTATTTTTTAACCTTGGCTCGAGTGAAGGAAGTTGCACTCAAGTATAAAATGAGAGCTCTCCAAAGTTTACAGACCAAGGGGTCCGGTCGAGCGAAGAAAGCTGCGTTCGAGCGAATTGTCCTGTTTCAGAAATTTTGAAAAGTGTTTTCAAAGTGCGTTTGGGCATCCTCATTGCATCCTAGGCATTCATAAGCCTTAATTAAGACACAATAATGAGGATAAGAGTTTGAAACACACGTTAAGAAAGAGAAATGATAAACACTTTTGGGACAATGTTCAAGTGTATCTGTCACGTGTTTGTGTAGGTCACGTGTTCTTGCTCGCCTGATCAATCTGTTCTGTTCATGTGACCTGTTCTGCTACTGGACCTATCCATGAGTAACAACTCTCTATGTTTGACTATAAGTATTTTCTAACTGATATGATGTGATCTGTTTTCTGAAATGCTATTTTGTAAATCATGAATGAATGTCCAATTTTCTAAAATGTACTTATGGCATCCTTAGCTCACGTGGCCCTCACCTAGGGGTAACAATACCATGACTTATGTTCATGTGGCCCTTACCCTGGGGTAACAATATCGTGGCCAATATGTACGTGGCCCTTACCCAGGGGTAACAATACCGAGGTCTATGTTTACATGACCCTCGCCTGGGGGTAACAATACCATGGCTATTTGTGTACAAAGATGTTGACCTTTATGGTTCTCGGTGCTGACTATGCATGTGGGTCTTTTGACTAATTTGATCTGTTAACTAATAGATGTACCATGCATAACTGTTTATGAATTCTATATAAGCATGTGAATCTGAATTTGTTTCTGATCTGAAATCTGTTTCATGAATCTGATTTGGACATCATTCATAAACCCATTACTCTGTTGTTGTTCACTAGGCTCCAGCTCATTGTACTATGTGTGTATGTAGGTGATCAAGCGAGAAACCAAACCTAAGCTGTTGCCTAGAGTTCTTTTGTCAAGCCAACCACCGTGCCTTCCGATGAGGTTTCGAAATGCTTCAAGTGGTCAAATTTGTGAATCAAGTCTAAGGGCTGGTTTGGCAACCCTTGAAAAAGCCAAAAGTTACCTAAAAAGTTAAAAAGTTATCACTATTCACCATAAAAAAAATATTAAAAAAATAATATACAAATATTAATACAAATAAAAAAAAATCCTCAAGATTAGTACTGACATGATGGTGGAGTCAATGACCGGGGAAACAAAAAAAAAAATTATAGTAAAAATATTCACTAAATTAGATGGTAAAGTTGGGCCCGTGGGGGCCTACTATGGGTCCCGTTTTGATAATCTGAACTGTTCAATATGTAGAATTCGTCTAGTACTATATACCTGTAAAAAATCATGTCTATCGGATATCGCTAACTACATGATCAAATCAATTTTGTATAAAAATTGATGGTGTTATAGTTAACAGTTAACAAAAAAAAAACTAATACGATCAGATAGCTATCGATATTCAATCAACGTAACTTTTACAAGCATATAGTACTCGACGAGTTCTACATATTGAACGGTTCTGATTAGAAAAAGGGGACCCTTGGTAGGCCCCTACGGGCCACACAACACCATCCAATCAAAGCTCGAGAAGGAGACAATATTTTCTGATCTACTCACCCAGCCAATTACCACTGCCATTCCATACGGCCTCCTATCCTATCTTCTCCTACACACTTATTTATACAATTTTTTACTACACATTTTTTCATAAAAAGTCAAAAAGTTAACCCAAACATCCATATTTTTTTTCTCAACTTTTTAGTCAAAAAAGACAAAAAGTGCACTTATTTAGGACACCCCAAACAACCCCTAAGTCTATTAATTTCCCTTTTTTAAGACCGAACAAGTTTTTGTATATTTTGCATGTTGGGCTAAGACCCTTTTTAGTTTCTCTGTATACAAGTTGGTGTTATATATGTAAATATAAGTTTGAAATCTTATGTCCCATGTACGTCAACACTGCTCTATGGACATTGTATTTTGTTATTGCTTCTGCTAGCTCTTTAATTTTACTAATCTGTTTAGAAGCCTTCGGTAATTCTAGGATTATTGGCCGGTTACGATACTAAACTTATAGGCGTGGATTTGGGTCGTGACAACCTCTCATACCTAAGGTTCT